TAGTAAAGAAGAAAACCACCTTCTACTATGAATGTGCCACCCAACTGGGAGTGTTCTTGGTCTTCATTGTAGCTGAGGTTCTCATGTTAGCTGTGATGGCCTATGACCGCTATGTGGCCATCTGTAACCCCCTGCTCTACATGGCGGTGGTGTCTCGGCGGATCTGCCGTCTGCTGGTGTCCCTCACATACCTCTATAGCTTTTCCACAGCTGTTGTGGTTCCATCTTGTGTATTCTCTGTGTCTTATTGCTCTTCCAATGTCATCAATCATTTTTTCTGTGATATTGTCCCTCTTTTAGCATTGTCCTGCTCTGACACTTACTTTGCAGAAACAGTAGTTTTTATATCTGCAACTACAGGTTTGTTGTTTTCCATGACTATAGTTCTTGTATCTTATTTCAACATTGTTTTGTCCATTCTAAGGATACGTTCATCAGAAGGAAGGAAAAAAGCCTTTTCCACGTGTGCTTCACACATGGTGGCAGTCACAGTTTTCTATGGGACACTACTATTCCTGTATGTGCAGCCTCAAACTAACCATTCAATGGATACTGATAAAATGGCCTCCGTGTTTTATAGACTGGTGATCCCCATGCTGAACCCTATGATCTATAGCCTGCGGAATAAGGATGTGAAGGCTGCCGTAAAGAGATTTCGGACAAATTCATGGTGTTCTTTTAAATCAATGTGGTTTTAGAACTCTATAGGTAAGTGAAGAAGGGGTTAAAATATGCTGCCATTATGTCAGAGAAAGCAAAGATTAGCTGGCTAACTTATAGGTTTATTAGAATATAATAACCCTGGGAATTTAAAGGGGCTAGGATTTGTGAAGCAGTGATTTAAAAAATAAACTGAAGGTCTTGGAGTTATGAGGTTGATAGAGAAAGAAAGGTTTATTCACTATTTTTGGCAAGTAGTATGCTGGTAGAAAGATTGAAAGTAATATTTTCAGTATCAGGAGAGATACATGTTAAAAAATACTCAAGTTTTATCGGACAAAGTATAAAAATTAATGAAAATGTTAAAATAAATTATTTAAGAGATCAGAGGTGACAAAATTATCTACTGTGTTAAAAATTTGTGAAACAATTTCCCTGAAGGGGGTGGGGCAAAAGGTGCTGACCTAAGTAACACTGGAAATGAGCGCAGTGTGTAAGACTAAAGGCAAAAATAATCACATGTAACACTGTACTCCAGTTATAGAGTTAGTTCTCATGTGGATATGGTTTAACAATTCTGGAACCATTATCTATGTTACTGGAATTAAACAATTAAGTAAATGGGTGATGGGTAATAGGGGACAGCTTTCTCATTGTTGGGTAGGAGGTTACAGAAAAACAGAGAGGAAACCAGGATTATCCATATGAAAATGGATTAGTGACACAGATCAGCATGAACTTACTTTCAGCTAACTATAGCTACTGTGAGTTGTAAACAGAAATAGTCATAGACACGTATCTCTGGGTGAGTTAGCATAGACATGTATATTTCCTTACTCTGTTAGCTGAGAAGGCCTAGAATCTTGTGGACATCTCACTAGCAACAAACACATCTACTGCCCAGATATTAGTTTCTAATAGCAGTCTTCAATATTAGGAACTAGGGTTCCTTTGAGATTTGACTGTTTCTAGGACTGGATGAGAAATTTATATGATGAGCAAAGAGCATATTATAGAGTTTGAAATTAAGAAAGTGCCTAGAAAGAAAGAGAGGAAACAAGTAAGAAAAGAGGGAAGGAAGGAAGGCAGGAAGACAGAAAAGAAGGAAGGAAGGAAGAAAAGAAGGAAGGAAGGAAAAATAATGATGGAATATGTCAAAATGACACAGGAGCCAACTGAAAGTGTTTCCAATGGCCAAAGCCAGAACAATTTGAGCAACAAAATAAAGTAGAATTTTAGAGCTGAATTATTATCTCAAGTATGAAATGTTTCAATAACACACTGATGTGAATAAATGATTGAACAAATTATAAATAGGGGAAAACATTCAAATCTCACAGGCAGAAGAATTCCAAATGATTTATGTAGATACTCCGCCCTCAAGGAGGTGCAGCAGAACTCTCCACTCCTTGTGTGTAAGTTGCACATAATGACTCCTCTCCAAAAATTATAATATAGAAAGAAGAAGGGAATAACTTTATTGCGGAGAAAGCTGACAAATCCTCCCTCAGCCAGGTCACCAAGGTTAACGTCAGCACTGACAAGCCACGTTGATAGTATGTACTCTTCTTATGCGATGAGATTGTCAATTCACTTCCATGGTTTTCCTCCCCAAAATTCATTACTCCAGTCTAATCTGATGCGAAAAACATCAGAAAAACCCCAATTGAGGGACATTTCAGAAAACACTTGATCAGTACTCCTCAAAATTGTCAGGGTCGTAAAAACCAAGAAAAATCTGAAAAACTGTGACAGTCATGAGAACAGTAAGGAAACATGAAGACCAAACATCAGGTTCTATCCTCCATGTGCTCTTGGAACAGAAAAAGACTTAGGGTAAAAACTAAGAAAATCTGAATAAAGGGTATACTTTAATTTATTAACAACAACAACAAGGATATCTGACATTCGTCAAATCATTCAGGTGCCTGAGTCTTACTGTGGCATCTGCAGCTTCTCTTCCTGTCAGTAAATTGACTTTTA